CACGTGGACTCCGAAGCCGCATGTTGCCGACCCTCGGCCTCGTCTATTTGCAACCTGTCGAATTTTAGTGTTGGTCATTGAATGTCCTTTAACTAACTGCTGCTCACCATTAACTATTTATTTTACCTGGCCACAAATGATAGCTCAACGAAGTGGCCTCACCCGTGTGGAAATTCGTAGCAGCCAAATGCTCTCAAACGCACGTTTCGAAATGTGGAGGGGAAAAATCGGAGGGCTCAGAAAAAAATCCACACGACCACGAGGAGAGAGACACGCAAACTCCAAATATACATTCTAGATTTGAAGCTTTCGTGACTGCAAGGATTCATACTCTTTGTTTTTTTTCGGTAAAGTCACGTAGGTAAAAAATAAAATAAATGAAAACGACTAAATTAAATCACGACGTTTCGTAGCGAAAGCACAACCGCTAAAGTGTGTCTGACACACTTAAGTGGTTTGTGCTTTCACTACGTCGTCCCCACCTGAAGAAGGACGCTTGTGTTGTGCCCGAAACGTCGTGATTTAATTTAGTTGTTTTAATTTATTTAATTTAACTTTTTACCTATGTGACTTTATCGAAAAAAACAAATAGTCCAAATATACAACAGGCGTTAGGGTTGAGATCGAACCCACAACCTCCTGTATACCAGGCGAGGTAGTTAACATCTCGTTTTTGGGACGTTGCCCAATTTCCTCCCCCCCCCCCCCTTGCCGCTCCCCAAAATATCAGGTGAGCCAGTCGGTGAGCTCAATAAATGTTTATCTATGCATACATACCCACTTGTATTGCTTGGGCATCCTTGTAGCAACTGCAGCAGTATGTTCTGTCATGTATTTACGTTGAACCTCTTTCGCACCGTACGTAGCCGACCGTGCTAATTGGAGGTGCGGGAAACATGGCGGAGTAGATCTTGGTCTCTGTCTTCAATAGGACTCGCTGATTTCTCCTCGTCACTGTCGCGCTTTGGCCCCCTCCTCCGTGCGCTCCGTTGCGTTCATCGTCCCGCCAGATTGTCTTCGACCCGCTCGTGGTTATCGCCGAGTGAAGTTAAAAACACTTTTGTTGACAAATTTGTGTCACTTGATTTCATCGACAACTATAACACTGAGACCTCCTTTACCAGTGGCAAAATATAGTAATAGGTTTTTACCCTTTCAACTGGTACAAAAACTGACACCTTTATACAAGGCATCATGTTTGCAATAACCACAACACAAGCAGTCAAAATGCAAAAAAAAGAAAACTCTGATGATAATGATACGCCTTTTTGCGTCATCTGGTCCAACACCAATGGAGACTAGGCTCTAAGAAAAGCTGTCTCAGGTGTGGACCGAATAAACTTCAAGGACAGTGCATATCATTATCATCATCAGAGTTTTTTCTTTTTGTTTGCATTTTGACTGCTTGTGTTGTGGTTATTGCAAACATGATGCCTTGTATAAAGGTGTCAGTTTTTGTGCCAGTTGAAAAGGTAAAATCTATTACAACATTAACACTGCTGTAAAGTCGGTACCGTCACTCTGCGTGCCCTTGCCTCGTCACAAAGAGAGTCAGTCCCCAAATTGTGTGCACCCTGCGTGTTTTTCTATCGCACTGCGGTGTTCGTGCGATACATCTGGTGAGGTTTTTTTCAAAATATAATTATGACACCCCCCCATTTCATTGCATTATGTATTAATAAGCTTTAATATCACTACTGCCTTTTGTTTAACCATCTGAGGTCACATGGATTCATTATAGTGTTAATGGAATTTATTTAACTGTATCAGGGATCGTTGTGATTTATTTCTTGCTTTGTCCTTTTAGAATCTGAGGCCCCATTGAGATATATTAGAGTCATGTATAATGCATTTTGTTTTAAGTGTGACAACCTTGATGTATTACATCGTGCTGTGCATGAAAAGGCATAACACCATTGCGTTTCACTATAGCTTTGTGTTTTTCTATATATATGTATGAATGCTGAACTTTTTTCGCATCGTACACAGCCAACCGCGCTAATCACTGTGTTTGGCTATTAAATATCCGCATCTCATTTGGGGATTATTGAGTTTATCCACTTATTATTTGGGGAATGTGGCATTGCAACACCAAGCCCTGAACAGAGATGGCTATTTTATTTTAGTGTACAAATTACTGTGAAAAAACATGGTGGAAATAAGAGGCACAGTGGCAACACAAGCAAAAACAATCTTGTCGGAATAATACAATTGTATATGTACATGCTATAACAAGTACATGTTAACACTTTGTGAAGTAGCAGTTGGAATTCGAGCATTCCTTCAAGGTGACACTTCAATACACATGCTAACAGGTTGTACTATTGTTTAAAATACAAACTTTATTGCAATACTCATGAATGTTTTTTCCAGTCTGAATTTGTCTCAGAGGAAAAATGTAAAAAAATCAGGTAATTCCATATCACAACGGATTCCACGCAAACATATGACACGTAATTGAGTAAAATTGCTGAGCAATTAAATGACGCGACTTTGAGTGCATTAGAGCTATTACATAGATAACAGAATCATCCCCACACTCGCGCCTTAGGGCTGTTAAATGAAAATAAGATTTCAGAGATAATCGGATTGAGGCCACTGTCTGAAAGGCGCGGTGATTTTAGAGCAAAACACATATTTGAGGGTATTGCATAGAGTAAAAACTCGTATGAATCCTGGCACCTATACAAAGGTATACCAATTCTGTAACTTATACAAAGGTATTCTAATTCTGTAACCTATTGAAATGTATGCTAATTGTGTAACCTATACAAAGATATAATGATTCTGTAACCTATACAAAGCTATACTAATTCTGCAACCTATACAAAGCTATACTTATTCTGTAACCCATACAAAGGTATACTAATCCTGCAACCTATAGAAATTCTGTATTCTATGATTCGTGGGATCATGGTCAAAGTTGCATCGTAGTGATAAAAGGAATAAACTCAATACACCTTTCCGGATGGGGCTCTACATTCTATGACATTTCGGTCAATTACATTGTTGAACGTTTGGCCTGTGGGAGGAAACGTTATGAAACACCGTAATTGACGTTTTTATGTTTCCAGCCTTGAGGGTGTAAAGACAAGTGAAATGTATCAAAGGATGAAGCTCAGTGTGATGACAGCTTGCGTGAATTGTGGCGACGGAATGGCTGCATTGAGATAAAATATATCGCCTCGACGTAGGAACCTGGACAGTAAATCCGCAACAAAAGTGAATTCTATTCACTTCACGGTTGTTCCGTAAATATTTTTGTCAGCCATCCCATGCACAGATCTCAATGGACTGTTCCCGCACTCAAAGCACATGTACACAAATTCCTACTCGCCTGCCCCCCAGAATGGTCCTCTTTTACAAGTGATGCTGGCTCGATTTGAATGATCAACTTGGTCTACCACTCACATCGTCGTCAACGTGTTTGTGATGATGATGATGGCATTCCGCACACGATGAACATAATCGCTATATTTGAGAAAAAGAGTTACGCTGTGTGAAGAAGTTATAGGAGACAAGTATTTATAATAGATATGAGGGAAAAGAGAGATATACTGCTTGAGAGAGAGTTGTACAGAGATAAAAGCACATTGGCACTGTACTTACTGGATCCTGAATATAGGTTTCTCCCCGAAACCCCCACCTATGACCTCAATCCTTGTGACCTCTACCCCATGACCTCCACGCCATGACCTTCACCCTATGACCTTAACCCCTATGACCCCACTCTGGCCTCCACCCCCCCCATGACCTCCACTTCCATGACCTTCACCCTATGACCTTAACCCCTATGACCCCACCCTGTGACTGCCATCCCCCCATGACCTCCACGCCATGACCTTCACCCTATGACCTTAACCCCTATGACCCCACTCTGGCCTCCACCCCCCCCATGACCTCCACTTCCATGACCTTCACCCTATGACCTTAACCCCTATGACCCCACCCTGTGACTGCCATCCCCCCATGACCTCCACGCCATGACCTTCACCCTATGACCTTAACCCCTATGACCCCACCCTGTGACTGCCATCCCCCCATGACCTCCACGCCATGACCTTCACCCTATGACCTCCACCTCATTACACTACTTGACTGTAAAGGATACATGCTTAGCAATTGAATTAGGGACGATTTCACTAAGTGGTGTGACATGACTAACATTGTTGCATTTAGTTTCGTTAAAAAAATATTTACACACCATCTGTGCATATTTGGCCCATCTGCCGTAACTTGTACCGGTTTGACCTCCATGATTCACAATTGTATACGAAAGTGCACATCGCCGCATCAGTACCTAACCCTTCTGGCACCTTTGCACAATTTTTTTTGTTATCGGTTTGCATGTGTTTTGTTTACGGCTGTAAAACCCCTCGTTTGTGAGTTGTACAATATTCCTTGAGGACCATGTACTCACTGTCTGCAATATTGATGTTTTTGTCTTTTGTTATTGTGTTCACACACCACAGATCTCCCATGTAACATAGCCAGGCAACTGGCCACACGAAAGCCACTGGAGTCCAGGCATTTTTAAATCTAAATAAAAAAAAACTCAATTCTTTAGAACTGCTTTTCATGTGTAGTTTATTGTCCTTAACCCGCACCTCCAATTTTGCACGGTTGGCTACATACGATGCGAAAGACGTTCAACATACCTACATACAAATTGTATAATCCGTGTAACAAATCAAATTAACTGAATGCAATGTTACATTTCACAAGAACATCTATTAACATGTTTGTCTAATACTATATACCCTGTAGACATTATAAACATTTCATTAAAAGTAATTGTAGCCGCCATGGAGAGACGAACCTTAGCAATTAGATTGTGGAATTTCCATCCCTGATCGAGGGCTGCCAATGGAAAGATAAGATGACTGTCCCACACAGGATTGAGGCGCTGACATTTGGAACGTTGCCGTGTTAATCTTTGAAGATGGCTTGCAACAATGCAATATCGCTCCATCGTAAATCAAATTACCTCTCGCTTGCAGGTGCCTATATGCCCAGCTACCTGGACAAGAACGAGCCCTGCGTGGTGTGCGGGGACAAGGCAACTGGCTACCACTACCGCTGCATCACCTGCGAAGGATGCAAGGTTTGACGCGTGCCCACACAGCTGAACGGGAGAGATCTGCGTGACCCATGGGTGGAAAAAACCCGATTTTTCCAGCGGCAGGCATCGGGTTTTTTCTTTAATACAATTAAACCCGATTTCGGGGAATTAAAACCTGGTTTGACGAATACGAAACTCTGATCCAAGGCTTAGGCTGCTTCCTCGTCGGCGCTGCTATCGTACTCGGGTGGGCCGTCGGGCACGGGGTAGTCGTAGAATGCGGCGGGCAGGCTGGTCTTGATGAACACGAGCTTCTCCACAATCGTGGGTGCCGCCAGTGAGCTCCTTAGCTTGGAATGGATGAAGCCCATCGTTGAGAAGTTGGCGAAGTGCGGTTCTGCAATTAGAACCAATTAAACCGGATTTCTCCCAATCTCAGATGATCGGGTTTAATATAAAAAGACAATTAAACCCGATTGTAAAAAACCCGACGGTGCCACCCTTGGCGTGACCGGGTTGTGTTGTGTACGTGCGTACGCACGTATGTTGAATTTCTTTCGCGCCGTACGAATCGGAGGGGTTAGCCCAAACCACGCCTTGTGCGCCTTGTGCGGTGATATGGCCAGGGCAGCCTCATTGGGGTCTCCAAACCCCGAGGATCCGGAACCGGTTGCTCGGTGGCAGACGGTTTGATGACCCGTCATTGAGTCCGAGCCAGTTTTGCAACAGACTTAAAACAGCGTTGGTATTCCAGAGAGCTTACCGAGTGTGTGCGATAAGCGCGGCGTATTCGTGATGCACTGGGAGCATGAAGAGGGCGTGATAACAAGCGTTCAGACTTACGGGTGCGTGCGCCGTGGCAAAACATACTAAAAGTTCGTAAATAACAACTGCCTTAAATATAATAAAATCTATCATAGGTGATATTACGGGCAGTGGCCGTTTACAAAAATTAAATGTGCATTTGTATGTGTGTGTTTGCATGTGTGTAGGTGTGTGCCTGTGTACATGGCATGTGTATATGTGGGGGTGGTAGTGCAACGGTCAGCGTGCTGCACTACTAGCCCGACTTTGATTCCTGCTCACGGCCAACACCGGTGACGATTATCTGAACCAGTTGTGGGCCTCCCCTAGGTCTACTCGGCCTGAAATAAGTACCCGGTGCGGTGTGTAAACGTCGCCACTGGGGAGACAAATGCGGTCGGGCGTGGTGCTGACCACCCACCCCCTCGTGTACAATGCGGCCTTCATAGGTGCTCGCTAACAGCACTTGCCCCAACAGTCTGATAAGGCTATGGGGGGGGGGAAGCTTTGTCTTTTTGTATATTTGAGCTATGCATGGAATTATTGATGTAATACAGACTTATGTAGAGTAAACACTTCATATTTGTTGGGGAATACTTTCCTGGAGAACAGCACGAATGTTAAATCCGCGAATATTTATACTCAAAGCTTGAGGAAAAATAGGTTTCGGGGGGCATAAACATACGTTGCGTTTAAACATGAACATTTAAACTGTGTGTGTGTATTAATGAATACATATATTGTAATGTAGCATTGTGTTATTCAGCTGAGATTTGAGAGTGATGAATGTAAACACATTTTAGCGTGCAAATGTGAATCAATTGATGTTATAGAGTAAACGTAATTCCACGGTTGGCTACGTACGGTGCGAAATAAGTTCAACAAACACGAATGCAGAGGAAAGCGCTCATCTGTAAACAGTGCGGCCGGGAAAAGTCGCTCCAAATGGCTCGCCACTTCTTGTCGGTTAGTTAGTAGGGAGCTATTTAAAAAGGGACCGTCCATAAATGACGTCACGCACCGAGGTGGGGAGGTCAGACATTTGTGACGCCGTGTGACGATGGGGGGGGGGGGGGAGAGGTCAAAAATCGTCCAAAATCGCGTGACGTCATTTATGGACGGCCCCAAATACAACCCCGCAAATTTCAAATAGCACTGCAATAAGTTTACGCGAAACGGCGACGAGTAAAAACAAACAAACAAAATACCCCACAAGTATTGAAGGGTTTCAGCTGTATTGTTGGGGCGTGAAAACAGTTGGATTCCAATAGCGGGGTTTGGGGGAGGTTTTTGGGGTTCATCAACCTGAAACGAATCGAGGAAACGCCGTGCGAGGAGATGCCATCCTTGCTCGAGGGCGCCGCCTTGTGGATGAACTTTAAACTAAACGTTTTTATTTTACCAATTAAGACCCACTAGTGCTGTGTAGACAGCTCCTTTTAAGCAGCGACCTGGCCACAAATGATAGCTCATGCGGAAATGTATAGCGGCCTGAATACTTTAAGTGCATGTTGGTTCTAAATGTGGAGGGGAAAAAACCCGCGGACCCAGAGAAAAAATCCACGTGACCACGGGGAGAGAGACACGCAAACTCCAAATATCCAGCAGCAGGCGTCGGGGTCGGGATCGAACCCACAAACTCCTGCATACCAGGCAAGCGAGTTGACATCTCTACACCGCAAACCCTGAAATGGTTTATCACGTCTCCCTCCTACCCTCTACCCTCTGAACTTGACATTTATGAAACCTTAGTGACCCAACTCATGTCCTCACTTGGGGTAAATATCACCTGCTATATCTATTTTACTTTGTTGGTTGGGATAAAGTACATATATTTCCTTTTTCGGAGTTTACTTTGACCTATTCATCTCATTGATATATGCCGCTCTCTGTCAGGTCTTCTGATCTACTCGGTTAGAACAATGTCATAAATTAAAATATAAATCCTCTTTTGAGAAAGCGGAGGTGGAGTCCATCAGGGTAAAGTTCACGGCGTGGCAGGGTGACAAAGCCAGCACTCTGCCAAGTCCACCTTTGTCTTCGTTAGTGTGATGTGCTTTCACACTGCACCATGTTCTTATTATAGGCCAAGCGATACTCGGGAAGGCTCATGCCAGACACAGATAAAATTAACCGTCACGTGCACAGATGTGTGTGCAGGAGCAGATTGTATTCGGTGCGTCCCATAATAACTGTGCAGTTAGTGTAAGTCGTGGTTCATGCGCTATCATGGTAACGTGCCCCCAATAAAGAATTTTTGCCAGAAACTGCAATGCACTTAATTATCGCGCAGTAACTAATGTACGTGTAACGATTCGTCGATTTATCAATTGAAATTAATTCTCATGGTCAAGATACATGCGTCAAATATTTAGATGTGAGAATTGTAATTTTTTTTTACAATTAATGCAAATCGGAGTACAGAATATGCTTAGGTTGAATTGAGGATTACAAAAGCAACGAAAACTAAATGAGCAAGAGAGAGAAAGAGAAAAGCTATACAAAAATACAGTAACGATGATAATGTAAACAAGGTGGATTCTGGGATTGAGCCCTGACCCTGGATCTTGACAACCAACTGGACGTATTGACAGTGCAACGGTGCAGCATAACACACCGGTTCTCATAAACAGCTTCGACATCACGAGGACTAGTTTTAACGCACCCCGCAAGACTTTCAGACCGGGGTTGCAAATGGCGGGGAAATACCGCACACTGGTGTACCGCCAATATGTGCAAATCGTCAAACCGATGAGAGGAGAGGTAAATGGTTGTTATGAATCGTGGTGATTGGAGGGACCCGGGACCCCCCCCCCCCCCCCCTCCGTTGCCGTTGTATCTCTTGCGCTGTGTTTTATAAGATGTCAAGCATGCCGCGCGCGCTCTCCTTGAGAAGCGCAACCGAAGCGCGCACAGTCCTGGGAAGTGACGACCACCTTCGGCAATCGCTGTACATTCATCGTTTCACGCAAACTTTACTTGACAGAGATCTTGGCAAAGCCGCATTTTCGTAGGAAACAAGATCACCGCAAAAAATAGTGGTTTGGTGTTATGAAGAATGCCAAACTGAAAATTAAATTACTTCATTACTACTCTTAGGTTTTTTTGGTAAAGTCATGTAGGTAAAAATAAAAATTAATAATAAAAATAAAAATAATGGAAATAATAATGTTTTTATTTTTACCTACGTGACTTTACCGAAAAAACCTAAGTATGAATCCTTGCAGTCACGAAAGCTTCAAATCTAGACTTCATTACTGTTCTTCTTGGTTCTTTCGGTAAAGTCACGTAGAAGGGAAATAATAAAATAAAAAAAAATAAAAAAAAAATTATCACGACGTTTCGGCCACAACGCAAGCAGCCGTCCTCGAAAGCTTCAAATCTAGACTTCATTACTGTTTATGGAAGCCAAACAATCTATTGCTCAGCCTTCTCCTCACTCGACCTGTTTGGTTCAGTGTTTACCACCATTTGAGAATTTGCGATCCCCCAAAAATGTGGTCTCCGCTGACTGGCGCCCGACATCAGCAATGTAGCTAACAACGCGTCGATTAATCCATCGATGGTTAAAGCGCACGACACGTGGATCGAGTTGCGTGCGTAACAATCTGCGGTTATCTCTTTTGTATGTTGCCCCCCACTCCCCAGCCACCAGAGTCCGCTACGATGACCACAACATTAAAAGAGGATTGATTGTTGAATTGAATTGCCGGGAGGTGGTGGGTGAGGTTGGAATTGCTGCCCTGCCGCCTCCCGATACTCAGCAATGTAATGATTTGGTCACATGACTGGCATTCGTGCTTGTGAGTGCAGTCTGTTGAAATGTTTCGACGCAGAAAAACCACAACCAACACGAACAGTTGTTATGGGCGGCATAATCATTTTATACATTAAGGGCAATTGGTGTATGTTGGGCTTGAACAAAAGAACAAAAATAAACGTTGGCCTTTGAATATATGTGCATGCAGAGGATGCTCATATTATCGGTCAACTTGGAAGTTCATATATCACGTGGCAGGGAATATGTATGAATGTATGTTGAACTTATTTCGCACCGTACGTAGCCAACCGTGCTAATCTACAATATGCTATGGATGTGATCAGGAAAAGGAAGTCGTGATAGATGGGACATGACTTCACACTCGAGCAGCAGGTTGTGAAGACTGTAATTGCGAGCTTGTCGCCGAAGGGAACACCGAAAGCCAGATTGTGGGATACTGTCAGAGTAAACTTTGTTTGTATGCATGTTGAACTTCTTTGCGCATCGTACGTGGCCAACCGTGCTAGTCGGAGGTCACCTTTCAATTTAACAACGGCAGTACCTGGCTGAAGGAAACAAGGTGACAGTGAGGTGTGGAGCCATGGACAGCATTGGCCAAGGTGACCTCTTGACCTTGATTAAAGGCAAGACCTTTACAAGGTTACCCACATTTTTGCTCGAATTCACTTAATGCCTTAATTTCTGCTGTGCAATCACTGCGACCTTTTTTGCGGCATTAGTTAATTAGGGTGAAGTGATGGTGCCAATAGGAGGTGATCTGGAGATGGGAGTGATTTACGGCTTTGCGTACCAAAATACATCGAGGTGAATGTGACCAAAAAACCATCATGACGACGCACACATACGACGAAGCCTCTCCGTGAAGAATGACCAGAGCGGTTGCCCCTTAACAACATGGGAAGCAAATACCCTTATCTTTGTCGTCGTTTGGGTTTCATTGCTAAAAACCCATGATTTGGCGAGCACAATCGATGGTTTTTCCTAAAACCCGTCGCTGTTGTACTTCATCAAAGTCGTGTAAGCAGCACCCGTGTGTGGTACCGCGGATGATGCTGCGGTAATTCTGCATAGGGAGTGCAAAACATTTTCTAAGAACCCAAGCCATGTGCTTTCATTGCAGGGATTCTTCAGGCGCACCATCCAGAAAAACCTGCACCCCTCGTATGCATGCAAGTACGAGGGCAGCTGCATCATCGACCGAATCACACGCAACCAGTGCCAAGAGTGTCGCTACCAGAAGTGCATCGCTGTGGGCATGGCCTCTGACCGTACGTTACATCCATGCGTGTGCCACGATGTACTTGTTGTCACGCAATGTATGCATGCATGTATTATGTTGAACTGCTTTCGCACCACCATTGGAACCTCCTTTGCCAGTAGCAAAATATTATAATTGTTTTTTTACCCTTTTATCTGGCGACAAAATTGACACCTTTTTTTTTACAAGGAGTCATGTTTGCATTGACCACAATACCTGCGGTCGGAATGCAAACAAAAAACACAACTCTGATAATGTATGCATGGTCCTTGAAATTGATTGGTCCACACTCGAGACAGCTTTCCTTAGAGCCTAGTCTCACATGGTGTTGGACCAGATGACGCCATCTGGTCCAACACCGTACGTAGCCAACCGTGCTAATCGGAGGTGCGGGGGAAGGACGGCAAACTAAACACAAAAAGCAGTTGCAAAGTTTTCAGTTGACATTTAAAAATGGTTTCCTAATATCAGAAGGAAGTGCTTTCCAGATAGCCGCAGAGGCGCATGTGAAAGCGTGCCATGCAGTGATCGTTTTTGTTAGATGGCTAGCCAAAATCCACTGCGAGGATGACACAATGCGTTCCTGGAAACAACGTCGCAATTGGAATAGCCGTAAATCGGACTCTATTTTTTCATGGACAGTACAAACGTCACTTACCGGTGTGTTTTTCCTTTTATAAGCCATGTTTAATAGGGTTTAATAGATAATCTCGTTTTTTGTGTTAGGTCACGTAAATATATAAATGTTTCATTAAACCCGCCACTACCAGACACAGCCAATTAGTAAGGTTTGTCACGTGAACCGGTGTGTTGGAGAGCAAATCCGCAACATTTCCAATCTGAGTACGACGTTTCGACATTAAATTTCGATTTAAAGCTTTCGTGACTGCAGGGATTCATCTTCTTGGTTCTTTCGGTAAAGTCACGTAGAAGGGAAATAATAAAAAAATAAAAATTAATAAATAATAAAATAATTCTCGCGACGTTTCGGCCACAACGCAAGCAGCCGTCCTCAGGTGAAGAACAGGTCTGTCAGGGAGACAGCGTCTGAATGAAACAGCACCATGCTTGGAGCGTCTATTTAAGCTGGGTTGGAAGGGGGGAAGGGCGCCTTGACAAAGGAATTAGCATATCAAGAGGAATTTAGCATATTTATGGGAAATGCAGTTATTAATTACAACTTGCATCATCAGGGGGACAGCCAGATTTCTAGATAAATCCTCCTGCTTCGTTTCTTAAATAGAGGGATAGATGTGATGACGTCACTTGTGACCCCCTCGCTTGCGAATAGGTTTAATAGTTAAGAAACAAAAAAAAAACACTTGAGAATCACAAAAGCTCCAAGTCACATCGGAAACCAGACCGACTCTGTTCAAATGTGTTCGGAGTCGTATCGGAAGATGCATCGTAAATCAAGTTTCTGCATCGTTAATCGATTCATGGTGGCGTTATATAAATGTCATGAATGCGGATCGCCGTAAATCTGACTGCCGTGAATTGGAGACCGCCTGTATTTTATATTTATGGTTTAATAACATGTTCCCTCTCTTCTGGCTTATAAGGTGACCACTGTTTACTTTGTTATAAAGTGGGGCCCATTCCGTTTATGTTGAACTTCTTTTGCACCGTGCTAATCGGAGGTGCAGGGAAGGACAACAACAAAAAATCCCTCCAGCGATAATAGGTTTAATAGAATTACGAGCCCCACTTAAACTCCACAACCTATCGGTTTTAAGCTCCACCTGATCAGATTACGATCCTGTACAGCATCTCCAATGTTGATAAAGAACCCAATAGCTGTAGACAGCACCTGAGCACCGCCCTACAGAATTGTTTCGGTGTCGGCAGCGATAATTGTCTCAGAATAGCAATTCATTCAGTGCTGCTTTTGTAAATTGTAAACAAATAAAAAACATAATCAACGTTTTTGGGTTTAGATGGCGTTATTTATAAATGTGTCGTAACCCTCCACCACCCGACACGGCCAATCAGTAAAAAAGTGTCACGTTGACAAAAGACAAATAGTTCACTGCTTTAGCCCACCGGTGTGTTGAAGCGTGAAACCACAACATTTCCAATTTTATTGTGGTTTCATGCTTCAACACAGCGGTGGGCTAAAGCAGTGAACTATTTGTCTTTTGTCAACGTGACACTTTTTTACTGATTGGCCGTGTCAGGTGGTGGAGGGTTACGACATATTTATAATTAACGCGATCTAAACCTAAAAACGGTGATTATGAATAATATTGATCGCGAAAGCCTGGTACGTGTTTAAATAAAAAACACACAAAGCCATAAAATAGTAGTTTGTGCCAGGAGTGTGCAAAAGGCTCGCGATGAATGTGCCCGTCCCCCCTAATGCTTACGCCCGTAGCGGGGTCACTCATCCACTTGTTTCAACTTGACAGCCGAGGGCGATAAGAGCGCAACACTTCTGCGTCCCTGTTATCGCACGCGGGGTGCGTAGCAGATGTCCCCCGTTGCCCCCCCGCCCTCCGCCACGTTTAACCCGCGGCTGCGTCTCCCGGCTGCGGCGGCAGTGGTGCTGGATGACGGCAAGCGGCTGGCCAAGCGGCGTCTGATTGAGGAGAACCGGCAGCGGCGCAAGCAGGACGAGAAGCGGCGCAACGTCATCGAGCGACCGGGGCCCAGCGACAAGGAGTGGGAGCTGATTCAGCTCGTCACGGCGGCGCACTGCACCACCAACGCCCAGGGGAGCCAGTGGAAGGAGCACAGGCGATTCATGGTCAGCAACTGCGTTACTCTCACGCCGTAACCGAACAGTGCGCTCCAGGAACGCCGCGGGCGCGCTGCTCGGCGCAGTCACGTTCACGCCAGAGGTCGCAAACGGGTTTTGATTCCTTACCCGTACCCGTACCCGGCCGCACCAGGGTCGCAAACGGGTACCCGTACCCTATAGCCGGCCGGGTACGGGGAGCCGTTCCCTACCCGTACCCGTACCCTACCCGAAATGAGTGACAAACGGTTACTCACCAGTGACTCACGGTCTCCCCGTACCCGTACCCGTACCTGGCCGGGTACGGGTAGCCGGGTATCGGGTAGGGTACGAGTATCGGGTACCCGGTTGCGACCTCTGGTTCACGTGCTTCAGTGTGCAAGGGGCAGCGCGGTTGTCTTGATGGCGCTTTACTCTCCAACACACCGGTGGGCTGAAGTAGTAACCAATTGGCACGTTTTGTTTACGTGACGAGCCTTACTAATTGGCTGTGTCGGGTTGTGGCGGGTTTAAGGACACGTTTATACTTGGGCGATCCAACCCAAAAAAACCTTTGTGACGAATAATAGTGCTCGCAAAAGCCTACGTGTCAAAGGAGCCATCCTTTTACCATTTTTCCAGCTTCAAAAAAAAAAACACGATGACATTTTAGAAGTTCAACACATTTACGTACGTGTGTGGTTGTCAACACACACGTTTGTTAGACACTGCTTTGTCCTCGAGGGATGTGAGCTTTGCTAGAGCAGTGCTCTCAGGGGCCATGCGTTGGTGTTTTAAAAGGGTTGTGGTCACCTTATTCTCTTGCCTGCAGAACGCTGCTATTACTAGTTCACAATGTACGGAACCTTCCGATAGCTGCCGAAGATAAGTTAAACTTTTTCCGTGTTCCAAGTTACACTTGAAGATTTTTAAGCACCCAGTCATTCTTCTCTGCTGGTCACATGGTCTGGAACTGTTTTCCCCCCTGTTCGTGTCGAGGCTCACGACTTTCTTCCTTTACCAAAAACGAACTCCTCTTGTCTGTAAAATAAATATGGCCACAGTTTTTGAACACGACATTCAGATGTGATCACATTTAGTGACTATTTTAATTCACACTGGATGGTAACCTACTCTTTAGTAATGAAAGTTTAAGGGTGTATGTAGTCATTGCACACCTGGATTTAATTATCTTGCGTAACATTTCTTCTTGCTGAAAATCATCGCGACACGTTCAGGGAACATCGGTTACGGGAAATATCAGCCCGTGTCTAAAACGTGCCGCGTCTTTTTTTTTTCAGTGTGAAAAATGCCCCTCGCATCGTTGGCAAAGTGGGGATGGTCTACTGATGCACGTGTTGGTTTGTTGTCTTCTGTGTACGTGCACCGTCAGTCTGAGGATATTGGCCAGGAGTCCGTGCTGTCCAGCCTGGATGGGGATGACAAGGTGGACCTCCAGGCCTTTACCCACTTCACAGCCATCATCACTCCGTCCATCACCCGGGTCGTTGACTTTGCCAAGAAGCTTCCCATGTTTACCGAGGTCAGCTGATGCAACTTCTTACAGCGTTGTTATTTATTACATTACTATGGTGTTTCACATATATATGCATGTACACACAAAGGCAAAGACGTACAGACAAAATAGGCTCATACGTACAATTAAATACACACAGACTACACACAGATGCACATACACGGATTGCACACATCATTAGACCTCCTTTGCCAGTACCAAAATATAATAATAGGGTTTTTCCCCTTTTTTCTGGCAACAAAACTGAAACCTTTTTACAAGGAATCATGTGTGCATTATAGAGGTGGAAACAATGCAAATGTATGTAATTGTGTTGTAAGATCGTTTGTTTTTATTTACTTATGTATTTGTCATCTTTGATACCTTGTTTATGAACTCTTGCTGCCCTGTCTGTCTGCTGGCCGAGTCACCCTTGAAAAAGAGCTGTATACCTCAATTGGTAATTTACTCGGATAATAAACTTCTGATTCTGATCATGTACACTCAAAACACACTTAGAACAATCTCTTATTGTTTTATTTTTCTTTCTCTGGGCTTACCCATAAGCCCTGACCCCTTTGTGGCCTAGTTTGTTTGCCCAGGGCAAGCCTGGCAAGGCGTATGGGTGAGATGGGTTTAGAGATAGGCCCACAGAATAAAAAAAATATCGGTCCTTTAACAATTTGCAAATGCTAATTATCAGTGCCCATACGGTTCGCAGAAACTATGACTGCAAGTCGTGGGGGGGGGGGAGTGGAAATCTGAAACGTTTAAATAATTTTGTGTGGCTAAAATTTTCTATAATCCACGAAAGTTTCCCGATAGTAGTGAATAATTCGTCCTATAATTGAGACACTAGAAATGGAGATGTTTTTTGTTTTTACTGCAGCGGTGTTTAAAGTGTCACTGGCTTCTTGAAAATATCTACGTTCGCATCACAGAACTGCTTCGAACCCGTCTCTGTTTCTCCGAGATAGAGAGATTGAGATGCAGAGAGACAAACAGGAGAAACAGCGAGAAACGGAGATTCAGGCAGAGATGGTTAATGGAAGGAGACAAATTGAAATGGAGAGAGAAAAGGAGATGGGGAGAGACAAATGTAGAGAGACAATCGGAGATGCAGAGACAACCAAGATGCAGATTGACAGTAATGCAGTTGAGGATAAAAAAAACTTGGATAATTAGTTTTAAAAATACTTAACTGCAGAGCCATATGGTAGATTTGCGACGTGGCAACTCCTATAATGCGTAAATATTCTGCAGGTTAAGAGAGTGGTTCGTCACATGTTCTCGTTGCTTCTATAACCTGCATGTTTTCACGGATCCTTGGGAATCAGGCAGCCGCGTGTATTCTCGGAGTAATATCTCAGTGTGCCACAAGTTACATGGTTCGCTACACGCGTGTCCAACATCGCCACGCAATTTTGGAGTTCTACTGTGAGCATTGTTTTGAAATGCGCATTACTTGTGTGGGTGACGTCATCTGTTATTGGCTGAAATAGCAGTTTAGTGGTTGGCCAACAGCAGGCATCCGATGAGCTATGAAGCTTTTTTTTTACAGATGTCCAGTATGGGTGGGCCAGCAAGTTACAACGGTGAACAATGCAAAAAACGATAGTGCAAATAGATAAAATGCTAAGTAAATAGTTATTTCAATATATAAGTACGATTTATCGACATTGGACGAGGCAGCAAAAACAACAACACAGTCCCAGACCACAGCAAGATAACACCTTGCAGCAGTAGTCCCTCAATAAAATGGCACATGAACATTGAACTATACAGGTATGATCAAAGTTACAAATCACATCGGTATATGTGGCTGTATCCAGCACTAATCGCCTGCTTCAGGATATGTTTTTAAGAAAGATTTGCGATGTCGGGGTAGGAAACAAGGTTGTTTCAAAACGGTTGGTGTGGCGCAATGTCAAAGTCTTCGTCACCCATTCACATTCTTGTCCTTGGGCTTCTTGGCAATGGGGATAATGAGTTCGCCAAGTATATCTTCTTGGTTCTTTCGGTAAAGTCACGTAGAATGGAATTAATAAAATAATAAAAATAAAACATAATAAAAGTCACATAGAATGGAAATAATGAAATAATAAAAATAACACATAATAAAATTATTTCATTTTATTATATTTTTAAAATAAAATAAATTTGTTATGTTTTCTTTTTATTATTTTATTATTTCCATTCTACGTGACTTTTATTATGTTTTATTTTTATTATTTTATTATTTCCATTCTACGTGACTTTACCGAAAGAACCAAGCAGATGAATCCCTGCAGTTGCGAAAGCTTTAAATCGAAATTCGCCAAGTATAGTGCAGCATTTGCCAACGAGGTTTATTATGAATGAGCCGGGCCCAATGCGAAGCGTGCACGCCTTCCCCCCCGCAGCTGCCGTGCGAGGACCAGATCGTGCTGCTCAAGGGCTGCTGCATGGAGATCATGTCTCTGCGCGCCGCCGTGCGCTACGACCCCGAGAGCGACACGCTCACGCTCAACGGCGAAGTCGCCGTCAAGAAGGAGCAGCTGAAGAACGGAGGCCTAGGCCTTGTGTCGGACGCCATTTTTGACCTGGGCCGCTCGTTGGCGGCCTTCAGCTTGGATGACACGGAGGTGGCGCTACTACAGGCGGTGCTGCTCATGTCCACGGGTAAGTGAGAGTGTGACGGAGCCATGCTGCGAGATGTTAACTACCTCGCCCGGTATACGGGAGGTTGTGGGTTCGATCCCATCAATTTGCACGTGTTAAGCAATTTCCTTGAGCTGTCATTTGTGGGCAGGTTGCTTCTGAAAAGAGTGAATATCGCTGTGGGCCTCACCTGGTAAAGTAAAAATAGTTTGATCATTTTTATAACCTCTTCAAAACACACCGTGTGACATTTCACCTACGCACAGCAAAAGTAACAACAGCAGCCCCCATTCACCAGTGAGTGGTTGGTGACGTCACCAAAGTGACTAGACGTGCCTTGCGCCCGTGTGAAATTTCAGAGGCTCATTTGCAGGAGGTCATGGGACATGCCCAGGTGTTCCATGTAAACTCACTGAGATTCCTGGCAGGAACAAGCTATAAGATTCAAACCTTATATTACTAATTTGTAAATGTATTAACTCTAAATATATTCAATTTAACTGGACCAATGATTATACATTTTCAAGAAGCTAGGTCAGGTGACACGGTTATTCTGACTTGATTTTCTTGGAGATGCTTGACTTACTCTCAAGCGAGGCGTCGTGTATCTAATTGCTAAACTTTTAGTGTGAGAATTATTCTACACTTTGCCAGTTAGCGGGGCTGAAATGATAACAGTTGGTGAGTTAAACCCTTGTCAGCGATGTGACATTTCGGTTTGTTTGGCCGTGTCGGGTGGTCGGAGGATCTTGCCGCAGTTATCTGGCCAGATCATTCCGCAGCCAAACGAAAAACTCAACTGTCAATTCGAACATTGACTGCGAAAGCGTGCGTGTGAAGATAAGTAAGTGGCTTTAGATGTGCAAGCGCAGAAACGGACGTCTGTTTCATTTATTACAATGGTCGAGGATTTCGCGTCTTACACACCCAAATCTAGATCAGCAGGTCTAGAATTCCCTTACACACGATTTTCATAGAGCTCTACGCCGTATCCCACTGTGTACAGCGTAGTACGTTTTTTGTGTCTATTTTATTGCTATAAAATTGTTGGTAGTTATTCACTGTATTCTTAGGTTTTTTTCGGTAAAGTCACGTAGGTAAAAAAATTTAAATTAATGAAAGTAAAATAAAAATAAAATAAAAAAATAAAAATCACGACGTTTCGGAGGCAACACAAGCTTCCGTCTTCAGGTGGAACCGTCACAGCACGATAGCTGTATCAAGTGAGAGAAATTTCAAGAACACAGTATTTGTATATATACTGGTTGAGGGTGGGAGGAGCCAAGGTAGGCCCTGAATATTATTTTTGTGAGGTTCGGTGCTTTTTATTTTTATTTTTTATTTTATGTTTATTTTACTTTTATTAATTTAAATTTTTTACCTACGCGACTTTACCGAAAAAACCCTAAGAATATGAATCCTTGCAGTCACGAAAGCTTCAAATCTAGTTATTCACTGCTTTGCTGCATGGGAGTTTCAACAAAGCTGACGACCGCAGGCCAACCCCAGTGAGTGGTGCGCCATCTGCTGGCGAGAGTGCCCATGCCCATGGGGAGCGGTGGCGGAGCGGTTTGCACACTGCGCTACGAACCCGGCAGCCCGAGTTTGATTCCCTCTCACGGCCAACACCAGTGATGAATATCTGAACCAGTCCTGGGCCTCCCCTAGGCCGACTCGGCCTCAAATGAGTGCCTGGTGTGGTGTGTAAACAGCCACTGGGGAGACAAAGGCGGTCGGGCGTGGTGCTGGCCACCCACCCCCTCGTGTGCTGTGCTGGCCTTCATAGGTCCTCAATTACAGCACTTGCCCCAACAGTCTGTTAAGGCTAAACGGGGGGTCTTTGTCTTTATTTTTTATTAATGTCCTGCGTAGAGGAGTGACACCCCAATGGGGTGTGCAGTGAAACTCCTCGAGTCTGCGGTGACGTGGGCCTCGGTGGCGAGATGTTAACTACCTCGCCTGGTATGCAGGAGGTCGTGGGTTTGATTCCCACCCTGAAGATGCATGTATATCTTCTTGGTTTTTTCGGTAAAGTCACGTAGTTGTGGCCGAAACATCGTGAGAATTATTTTATTATGTTTTATTATTATTTTATTATTTCCATTCTACGTGACTTTACCGAAAGAACCAAGAAGATAAATCCCTGCAGTCACGAAATGCTTTAAATCGAAATGATGCATGTATATTTGGAGTTTGCATGGTCTCCCCATGGTCGCATGGATTTTTCTCCGGGTCCTCCAGTTCTTCCCTCCACATTTAGAAACGCGCGTTTAGATTATTTTGCTGCTATGCATTTGCGCATCATAAGCCACTTCGTTGAGCTATCATTTGTTGTGGCCAAGTCGCTTCTGAAAAGGCGCAATATAGGTCAGTGGGCTTTACCTGGTAAAGAAAATAGTTTATTGTAGTATAGTACCACTGGTGGAAAAATTCCTGAAGTCTGCGAATAATATGTAGACAATTCACAAAGTACAGACATTTCCGCTAAGTGACCCAAATTCACTGATTTTTGGAGACACGCCTTTTTAGCCATGTCTATGTCTGTGTCAGGTGGGTGGTCCCTGGTGAGTGGTGAGTGTCAACTGAGTGGTTAGTGTCTCATAAGGAACAGGTGAGTGTTGTGAGTGTCAGGTTAATGTTTTGAGTGGTGAGTCTGGTGAATATTGCATATCAGACCATTCGTGTCAGTTGATTGGCTGGTAATTTTTTCACGTGTAATGAGCGAATGGTGAATAGTTTAAATTTACAGCATAACACAAATACCATGATCTATAGGGCTGCTTCCACAATTGCTATAGCGACATCGTGTCGCTATACGCACGCGCACCGCAAGTAGAACACACGTTTATATTACCACACATTCCGTACCCAACCTGCCCACAGTTGGAAAGTTTGGAGTAAAATCCTCGTTAGATGTGGTCCTGGCCTGTAATCTCTTTGAGGCGGACGAACTTAGTTGCACAAGTTAGGAAGTTAAAGTGGTCATCCTTTGGAGAGACTGACCTTAGGAATATGCAATATCGACCACTTGCTCGTGGAGTTCGAGCGATGCGTTGACTCCTGGGCTTTTTTGCACAAGTCGTATTACTCTACATCACACCACGAGCACAGCAATATAATATCAGAATCTTTATTTAGAGACTGGAGGAATCCGACGGAGTCATGAAGCTCTTTTTCACAGATGTCCAATAGGGGGTGGGTCGGCAAAGTTACGTCAACAAAATAATGTTGGAACACAAAAACATAAATGAAGTTTACTCGACGGGGTGGGGGGCGGGGGGGGGGGCATCGAGCCTCATTAGGGCAGATAATCTGCAAAGCAGCCAAACACCGATGCCAACAAATCTCCAAGCTCTGTGCGCTGCCAGTCGGGGGGGGGGGGGGGATTTAATCGCAGTTGAGTATTTTGCTGCTAAAGTTTATTATTTGGTCAATTTGGACAGTGACGCTGGCACACAGTCGCCTGTTCTTGCAAACAAAAATATGTCACGGGATCTCTAACGCCATCACTGTGCAGCTGCCGGCGTTGAATCGCTCGTGTTTAATTCACCCGCAGAATTAACCGGCACCCGTTGTTTACGTCTACCGGTCTACGACACACCGCGAGGCGCTTTCTAACCGACGCTCACTTGACTCGTCAAGTGGTTTTGCGGCAGTTTAAAAAAAAAACAAGCCTTGACACGTTTCGTTTCGCTGGGCCCTTGTTTGTGTTGGGTGACCGAAGACCGGCCTGGGCTGGTGAATGTGGACAAGGTGGAGAAGCTGCAGGACACCTACCTACTGGCTCTGGAGCACTACATCAATCATCGCGAGCACCGCCTTAACCACTTCTGGCCCAAGCTGCTCATGAAGGTGACAGACCTCCGGCTCATTGGGGCCTGTCACTCCAGCCGCATCTTGCACATGAAGGTGACGTGCCCCTCCGTGCTTTTCCCTCCGCTCTTCCTGGAGATCTTCCAGGACTGACGGGGAGTCGAGAGAACTTGCGCGCACAAGTTGCCCGTCCGCCTCTTGACCCTTGAGCCGATCCCAAGGCGTGTGCTGACGTGTTTGCCCTGCGAGCCGTGTCGCTGGGTTAATGAGGTTAAGGCAGCCAGGTACACTACAGTTTTGTAATTTAAAGTTGTCATCATTCATGTACATGGACAGTTCTAACACTTTATTCTTACAAAGATGTGTCGCGGTCTTCTGGATGAGGCTGTTATTTTTTTGTGTATGATGTTTCAAAGCTGACTTTATTATCTAAGGTTAAAGCATTTAATTTATGTTTTTAAAGTTATGGTTGGAGAACATTTTATATACCACATTTATACATAGTCTCTTTTTGTGGCATACGATAACAATCCTATATGTGTGGCATATAACATGCAAATATGTTTGAGTCATGGCCAAATGTTGAGTGGGTTTTGATTTGCTGCGTTTGTGATTGGAATCAGTGCTGTTAGGGGTGGTTAAGCAGTAGATATAAAACTGTTTGCGATTGTGGTTAATGAGATAAAACTATCGGCTTTCGTCTGCTTCAAGTAAAACATCATTAGAATTTTAAATTGAGCTATTATTATTTTGCTGTTTATACCAATGCTTGCTGTTTTTCATTGGCCTACTGTGTGACTTCATTGTATACCGTAGTGAAATTTTACCTCTATGCATAGTTTTTCATAGCTTTTACCATCATGTTCATTATTCCAAAATCTATTTTTGATGCCTGTATTTAAATCGAATCGCTATCGGTGACGTCTACAATATGAGGAGAGTAATAATCTGCATTATTGATGATGGCTCTTTCGTACATTGAGTTAATTTGGAAATATGTTCATGATTCTGAATGTCACTGTTTTATGAGGCATTTACCCTAAATATCGATTCATAAAATGTTTTAACAGTATACAATTTTTAAACAATGAAATGTGAAGACAGTGGTACATAAAATCCATTGTACTTGGAGTAAAACCTCTGGAAGCCAGACTAATTGTTGTGGGGGATAAGCCCAGTTATGGGGATACCCAGTAAAATTACAATTTAAATAACACACTGAACTAAAACTAAACTATTTTTATTTTAACAGGTCAAGGCACACTTAGCTACACGGCGCTTTTTCACGAGCGACCTGCCCATAAATGACAGCTCAGCCAAGTGGCTTATCGCGTGGAAATGTTTCGCGGCCAAAAACTTTAAACACAATTATTCACATTCCATTACGTGCAGCGGAGGTGGAGGAATGGATGATTCTTTAACACAATAAACAGACTGATTCTGCCAGGCTTGAATAAAACTTTTGTTCCATTGGAACCCCATTTGCCAGTAAAAAATATGATAATTGTTTTTTTTACCCTTTTATCTGGCAACAAAACTGACACCTTTTTTTTTACAAGGAGTCATGTTTGCATAGACCACAATACCTGCAGTCGTAATGCAAACAAAAAACATAACTCTGATAATGTCAGAGGACAGTGCATATATTATCAGAGTTATGTTTTTTGTTTGCATTATGACTGCAGGTATTGTGGTCTATGCAAACATGACTCCTTGTAAAAACGGTGTCAGTTTTGTTGCCAGATAAAAGGGTAAAAAAACAATTATCATAAACTTTTGTTGTGAAATAAAAACAAATACAAACTAAAATGAGAGTGAGAGAGATCTAACACGAGTAGAGCATTGCAGCGCGTGCACAGTACAACCAACTCCAAACAACAACGAAGTGAAAGCGTGTTTTATAGCTTGTGAATTGCCCATGCACATACGCGCGTCAATTTCAGTGAACCTATTGCAATGGTCGGAAGTAATTCGTGCGTTTTAGAATTTTCCGATACAAAATAAGCGTAGAGAATTAGGCCACATCATAACCGCACGCAGTGTTTGTTCCAGTTGGATTGGTTTTTGTTTATTTGTAACATTTTCTTGTTTTTGTTTAGGTAGCCTTTTCCGGCTAACCCTGAATTTTGGCTTGAACAAGTCTGGCTTCGTGAGGTTTCTCTGTTTTAACAATTATCGATGCATTTCGGTATCAACTTTTGGTCTGGCAAAATTGCTGAAAGTTCACTTTATGAACGACTGTACTGTAGATTGTGACTTTTATTCATATTGTAATATAATAATTTAAATTATAAATCATGATTTGTTGCCTGTAAAAGTGACATGTAAATAAAATATTAAAATATGACATTCTAAAAAAAGAAAAAACATTGGTTAAATATTTGAAGAATTAAACATTTACGAAAGTGCTAAGAGAATAAAAATATAAATCATCACAATGTTGTCACGAGCATCATCGCATTATCACGGCATAGCGAGTGACATGTGTTTCGTAGTGAATTTCAGGTTTCCCATTTTTTTCTTGTCAAAAGGACTCGCCGTGAATACTCTCGCCGCGCTCAGATATTTCCGATCAAATTTAAAACAAGTGACCCGTTCGCCGTCTTGCAATTTTCCAAAGCGTACAACAAAGCAGTGTTCTACCTCTCACCTCACGCGTTTAGAAGCAACTGAAGGCGCGAGTGCAACCATTTGAAATGCATATCTTTATTCGGCAGGCTTGACGTCTCCCTCCTGCGTCAGCTGTTCCCACACAGTCCAGGCTTGTCCTCGAGTAGCGGCGTTGGTGTTTCATTTTGAGTCTTTCGACATTGAAAGTGAACACGGTTGAGCGTACAAGTGAACATGCTGGTAGGGCCAGCGTGTAGGAGGGTGCAGAGCGTTGGCAGTGTTGAAAGCGGTCACGTGCCGCCCATACCTGCGAGGCTGTGCACCGGACGTATCGTTTTGTCCGGTGCTAATGCACTCTGATTGACAATGAATAGCACGTACATTAGTTTTAGTCGACAGAAAAAAATGCCGTAAATACTGTTTGCTGCTTACAAAATCGTGATATGCAATGTTTATACTCGCTACAGCGACACTGCTGTGGTGATCGCGTACACGAGTCTTAGAGCGAGCGCGTGAGCCTGTTCATTTTTTCACAGCGGGGCGGTGGATGGGGGGGGGATGCGTGCAGCGTGTGAGGTCCGTAGTCGTGACGCGCAATGCCGACTAACCTCACAGCAGCTATCATTAATTTTGTATCGCTCGTCAAATACACTTTGCAACAATCGGCGCATATTCCTACGGGATTTGGGCACAGATCTTATGCCTGCAACCAAACCTTGCCATTGTGTTAGTGCTCGTTCAGCTTGTCTTCTGACATGTCCCTGCTGGTAATTGGCAACGCACTTCTCTACCGGGACATCTGCATTCTCCGGCATTGTGCTTGTCTTCATAACAACAACGACGACAAAACGTTGTTGTATGCCTTAAAGTTTGGTTGACTCGCCGTACAAGGCTGCTGTGTCACTCGCTGCTTTAGGCCAGGGAGACGTTGGATTGTTTAACACTAATTCATCAGCTGGTAATGATTAAAATAAGTCCTATTTATATCACGCACGGACGCACGCACGCACATACACTGTGCGACGCAGTCCTTTAACAAAAGTCAAGAGGTGCCGGACAAACACCCCCCCACCCCCCAGCGTTTGCTCGAGCGCTCTTCTGCACAGGTGTGCAGTGCCCACGTGACTTAGCCGACGACAGCATCTCTTGATGATAATTGATTTAGTATTTAAACATTGCTCTGCCTGACTGAGCTATTACGTGAGAAAGTCAAAGCCAGGGTCCTTTAAGCATTGATCTAGTCAAGACTTGCGGTCTAATGTGACCCAGCCTAGTCCGGAGCGCTTGCTTACTTACGTACAATTGCCACAAATGATGCTTGTAGAATTTTCAGGAAAAGCATTCTACCGGGATTTTCAGAGTTTAAGTAAAACATGAACCAGATTGTAGCCTTCCTTGACACGATTTAATGCAATGTGTCATACGAGGCATCTGTGAACGGATTGGTAATACTGCATAGGAGTTAATAAGCTGTGTATTGAACGTAATAGTCAAACTGATATACGGTACAAAAAAGCATAATTCCTGTCAACTAACTTTCCAAGCCTCAAACCTTGCAGAGAAGTCACGGAGGACGTTCACCTGTTATTGATCTCGCCGATTTAAGCGTTTACATTTGAACATGCCATGAATGATATTCCTGCGGAGGGAATAACGCACTGTAAATGTACTACACTTAATGTTTAAACGTTAACGAGAGTATGCAGGCACCTATATCTCAATCTGTAAATGTGGCTTCTCGAAGGATGTTTAAATATAGCAGCATGTGACCTTTAGTAATGTCCAGACCGATTGTGTCCATTCTGATGCAACAAGTAGCTTAAACACATAATTGGAACACACCAAAATAGGATATTTGTGGAGCAGCCAGCAAAGGTGTTGGTTGTGTATGAACTGTGCCTATGGTTTACCCTGTTATTTATTGGTATTTAAGATTTTCACTGGGTTATGATGGCACGATATGGTGTTTCGTCCAGCAATGTGGCACTCAATGTATTATCTCAACAAAAAGTGGTTTCTAGCGGTGAGCTGCACGGAGCAACTGAATGTAGTTCACACACTCGAAAACAAGTTGAACGCGGCACATTATGATGCTTTGAGGCTTGTTTTTACGTCCCTGTCCAGAATGTTTTGTGGTTTTTGATTGTTCAAAAATCCACACCTGACTTTGTTGCATGTGAGTTAGTTACAAAGGATTAAGTTTCATTCAGATAAACCGCTGTTCAGATGCACTCAGTAACAGCGTTCGTATCATTCAGCGCCCCCCCCCCCCCCTAATGTGACAATCTACAATGTATGTTCTGATAAATACTCTGATGCTGCGTGGTTTATCTGCCCGGCATGCTTCGGAAACTTCTGAGGCGTGAAAGTCTTTTTCAAGCGTGGGTTTTTTTATTGAGATGTTTTTTTTTTGTTCAGTTATTTTTACCTCTTTGGTTTTTTTTCCTTCCTGCAAGGAATAAACTTATACTTATCATGACATGGCAATGTAAATCTGACATATACTTTTTAAGTTAGGAAATACATGCGATAAAAAAAACACCCATCGATGTGTTTTATGCTTTACCGGCGTAGAATGTGACGTGTTTTTGTTGTGTGTTACGAAAAGAACAATCCTAAACATAATCAGCGGCTTATTGTTAGGTGTTTCCACTGTGTTGTCCAAACTGTAGTTGGGTGAAACTCCTGTGAGTCTGCGTCAATGTGTGGGTGGCCGCGTTCGCAGATACTCGAATCCACGATGCACTACGATAACAAAAAAACACCTTGAGAGTGACAGAAAATGATGAAACCCTAAGAGGTTTTAGCTCGTCAAATCTACGACTCATTAAATCCGTGAAAATGTTGCGTGTTGTGCCTCTTAAAATCCGCAACACTAAGCACGTACTGTATAGGTGTGGTCAACAATATTATTAGCTACACAGAGATAAAGTATATATCCTAAACTTAACCAAAAAGTGGAACGCGTAACATTCTGATTTAAAGCTTTCGTGACTGCAGGGATTCATATTCTTGGTTCTTTCGGTAAAGTCACGTAGAACCAAGAACACGTAACACACTGTATACATTTACATCTATGCGTACATCTGTCATCTTCCGCGCGCCATCAAGATGCATCTCGAAAGAAAGTCGTGTTTCTAGCCGCGCGACTCCCCGCGTTTGCGATAAAATAGCGAATGTTTAGGATTTCTTTTGCCCCATACACAATTTAGGAGTTTCCACGGAACGCGGAGATGGGGAAGGCGAATTTTAGGATCCGCAAATTGGAGGAACGCAGACTTTTTGGAGTTTCATAGACGTCCGGCATTTGTCCCTTCAAATATTGTACAAGTGTAATAAAATTTAATGTTTACATTTGTAGCTGGAATACAGTTCAGTGCTATATTTTTTTCAATAAAATTACGCACCATTTTTTTTTTAACCCCAATAACATACTCTCATTGAACTTACGGCAGTTATTTTCATTACCTCTCCGATTAGCGCAATGTAATTTGCCGTGTTTTAGCGCGGCACTATTTTGGTTCACTTGCCAAGCTCCTGGCTCCAAGTTGTACTGCTGGTGGGCAACCTGACCTCAAGTGTGCTCCAGTGGAACACAGAACGGACCCGTGGCACGCGTACCGTATGAATGGCGAGATGTTAACTACCTCGCCTGGTATACAGGAGGTCGTGGGTTCTATCCTATCCCTGACGCCTGCTGCTGTATATTTAGAGTTTGCGTGTCTCTCTCCCCGTGGTCGCGTGGATTTTTCTCCGGATCCTCCTGTTTTTCCCTCCACATTTAGAAACATGCTTTCACAGTATTTGGCTGCTATAAATTTCCACGTGATGAGCCACTATCATTTGTGGCCAGGTCACGTCTGAAAAAAAGCTTGTATAGCTCAGCGGGCCTTACCTGGTAAAATAAAAAATAATTGGATTTATCTTCTTGGTTCTTTCGGTAAAGTCACGTAGAAGGGAAATAATAAAATAATAAATGTTTTCTTTTTATTATTTTAATTTCCCTTCTACGTGACTTTACCGAAAGAACCAAGCAGATGAATCCCTGCAGTCACGAAAGCTTTACATCGAAATTTGTATTCATGTTGAACTTCTATTGCACCATACGTAGCCAACCGTCCCAATTGAAGGTGCGAGAGCACAGCAAACTAAACGCAAAAAGCAATTCTAAGAAACGAGCCTTCAAGCCTAAATTTAAAAGTCATATCTTCATTGGCTTCTTAACATCAGAAGGAAGGGCGTTTCAGACGGCCGCAGAAGCGCATCCGATCGACGATGACCTCTAAACCAGTAGCAATGTCACAAGGTCAACAGGAAAACGGGGATTGAGGTCAGCGATGTCCATCACTTGCTTCGACTTCAGGGCACTTGCGGAGCCAGTGGGGGGTGGGGTGGCACGTGCCCCCCCAATAATCCAATCGAAATCCCTAATTTCGATCGGATCATTTGGGTTTATTAGTAATAAATCGGCATTTTGCGACCCCCACTGCCACTGTGTAGCATATTATTACGTGCCAGGGACTCTATGAGATGATAGGACAATAGTCTGAGTCCATAATTGGCAATAAGTAACGGCAAAGCGGTTATAAGTGAGTCACAGAATTGTGCGCAGTTGCGTTTCCAATACACGACTTCCCTGAAGGCATCAACACCTTCAGCGAGCGCGATGCCGATCACACAACGCGGTTCGAATTCGACCCTCGATCGATGGCTGCGACATCGCCGCACACGCGTCGAATATAGAGCAAGGGACAAGTCCTTACTTACTAACAACTCCTATCTTTTTTAATTGCTGGAGGGATTGCCCTCCCTTACCTGAAAATCCTGGCTCCGCCATTGCTTCAGGGCTGCATTAGTGTTCAAAATAACACGGCGGTAAAATTAGAAACCAAAGCCCTGGGTTCAATCTTGTTGCAATAACTTTTTAAAGATGGCTTGCTGACCCTTCACCCCTGACCCTGGAGGAGGAGGGGGGGGGATCCAGGAAGCGTCGGGGCTCACGAAGTGTGGGATCGTTAACCCTGGGGGGGGGGGGGGGGGGCCTTGCTGCTGATCCCGAAACGCAACTGAGCCATTCCTATCGGCAGTGGTCATGGAAACTGAGCGATTAAGAATAATATTCTTAGGTTTTTTTTCGGTAAAGTCACGTAGGTAAAAAATTAATAAAAGTAAAATAACAATAAAATAAAAATCGTGCTGTGACGGTTCCACCTGAAGACAGAAGCTTGTGTTGCCTCCGAAACGTGATTTTTTATTTTACTTTTATTAATTTACATTTTTTACCTACGTGACTTTACCGAAAAAACCTAAGAATTTGAATCCTTGCAGTCACGAAAGCTTCAAATCTACGATTAAGATTAACACGCGGAACAGCAACCCAAGTGAAAACGTGACTGCTTCTTGGGTGTACTCCAGCTAATTGTTTCATTTATCAGTCGTAAAGAAAAGTGAAGGGTTTTGTTAACTCTCAACAATGGTAAAATTGTCAAATCCCCGTAACTCAAATATTGCATGCGCCCCCCCCCCCCCCCCCATACGTGCTTTGTAGACACTGCTCATTTAGGTATCCCCAATTTTCTCACTCGGTTGCTTTACCTGCAAGCTAACCAACCACTTGCTTCACCATGTTTGCGATGTCTTTGTTACGTTCAGTAAGTTCTCGCCTAACTGCGTGGCATTCTCACGAAGTGCCGATTCACAGTCGCAAATGAAACTCTTGGTCAGGAGTTAAATCAACCCATCATCCTTCTCGAGTCAATAAAATAAATACCCCCTTTTTATGAGTCTCACAACACTATCTCAGGGCTGATGGAACGTGCATTCGTCTGCACTATCTGAAGACCGCTCTGTTTCTAATAAATCTATACCCACAGCTGTTACACATCTTCTTGTCTTTTCAAAATAGCATGAACCGGCCCAGCTTTTTACCCACCTCATCATCGTCTAGGCTCAGTCATATGCCATGCTTACACAGTCGTTGCCTATGCAGGTATATTCACTCACAACATCCATCGTAGTCGAATCATGTATAGCAGTCTTGATAACATAAAAAATATATACATTTGCTTAAAATTCCAGCAGAGCCAAATATTTCTTATCAGGACACCTGATCATCAGATGGAACCTTGCCGAATACTGAGACATTTTCACCCCCCACCTTTTTTTTACATTTTACATTTATATAAATACAAATCTCTTACTTTCTTGGATTGTGGAGCCATAGGGCAAGTGTAATGTTATCGGGTAAAACTGTTGACACCTACGGCCATGCAACAAAATGTGCTGTCAGAAACAAAAGTTGCCGTAACTATCCATGAATGTAGGCTAATGGCACGTGGGTGGGGCAGTGATTGCTGGGCCACGCGAGCTTACGGAGGCCGAGACGAGAGAGAGAGAGCTCTTGGGAGGGCGTCGAATGTATCTAATAAGCCATTACTATGGGTTGACAATGTAATGTTAGCGCATGGCTCAGGATGGGGAGGCGGGCGGGCGGGCAGGGCGGTGAAAGCACACTTCCTGTCGAAAGTCAAATCGTTCTCTTACCCATTTGTATTGATAATTACCGACTCCAGACAACGCCTTGTAAAAAGAACGCAGTTTTACATACGGCGGCGCATTCGGCTTGCAGCATAAACGACGTTGGCGGTGCTTGATGTTAACCGGGTGCTTGGAATGACTCAAACGCAGGTGCCCCACCACCACCACCACCAGGACCGTATTCGAGACGGGTGAATCGTCGTCACCCTTTGTAATAAAAGTCCCCTGTTAACGGGGGGAGGGAGAACACTTCTGCGTTACGCGTGGAGCCCTTTCGCCTGCACAGTCAAGCGGCAGCACTGTGAACGGTCGCGTCTCGGTTGTGCATTGTCGGGTGGGAATCGCGACCGCTTTTTGTGTTTGTGATGCGTCAATTCGATATTTCGCGAGACGCTTTCTTTCTCCGTTGCTGCGATGTCACAATTCTTGACATCTTCAAAGTGTGACCAAGCACGGTTTTTGTCGGTAAACATTTTCCATCCACGATGTCACTCGGCAATTCCCGTCGGCATTAGTCACCAACGTGTGAAGCTGCTATGCCTTCTTACCAACAGCCCCGATTCTGGTATGTAGGTTGTATGTATGTTAAACTTCTTTTGCACCGTACGTAGCCAACCGTGCTAATTGGTGGGGGGAATAACGAACTTAACACATCAAAGCAGTTTTAAAGCAGCGAGTGTTGGTCATCTGGTCCAACACCATGTGAGACTAGGCTCTAAGAAAAGCTGTCTCGGGTGTGGACCAATCAATTTCAAGGACAGTGCATACATTATCAGAGTTGTGTTTTTTGTTTGCATTCCGACCGCAGGTATTGTGGTCAATGCAAACATGACTCCTTGTAAAAAAAAGGTGTCAGTTTTGTTGACAGATAAAAGGGTAACAAACCAATTATCAGATAAACTGTTGTTTGCCAACTTTGGACATGTCCACCCAAATTGTTTT